CCCGGCGCTCTCCCCGCCAAGCGCGCTCCCCCTGCAAGCGCCCGTGCGCCATGTGCCCGGGGCCAGGCCAGCCCCGAGCACCTGGCGGGCGCATTGTTGGGGACCACGGGGTTAAACAATTAAATATATTTTACATCCCTAATTAAACAGTAGTGCCTTATTAAGTCTTCAGCCTGAGAAGTCTCTTACTCCACTTTGCTGCCAGAACAGCTATACCTAACTTGCTCATACACAACTTCCAGCATGTATTTTGTTCCCAGCTACGCAGTATTGAGAACTAATAGCTAGCTACTCGTAAATTAGAGGGCAATACCTGCATATACCCAGTTCCAACTTCATTCTGCAGAAACATGTGTCTTGCACTGCTCTGTATTTTCCTGGACAGTGTTTAAACTCATAATGAGTAGGGATGTTTTAAAGCAGTTAATTAGGTCACCGTGTAACCATTAAAAAAAAAAATCTTAGCAGTTACAAGGTTTCATGCTGCGGGTTCTGTAGTATAAAACTTATATTGCAGAGCCCACAGTGCAGCCAGCTTCCCAGGAATGGGGCCAGCAGCCAGTGCATGCCAGAAGCTGGCTGCCAGCCCCACTCCCAGGGAGCTGGCTGCACTGTTGGCTCTGCTGTATAAGCTTTATACTCTAGAGCCTGCAGTGTGGGGTGGCAGCTGCTCGAAGCCAACTTTTAAGCTGGCTTTCAGCCCCGTTCTCAGGTGCTGTCTGCCACCCTGTGCTGTGAGCTCTTATTATAGAGTCAGCAGCGCAGGTGGCATCTGGTTCCCTGGGAGTTGGACTGAGAGCTGCCGTGTACAGTTAATAAGCTTCTGCTTATTGGTTAATTCTTTAAATTACACTGTTACATGCCTAATAGTAAGTCCATCATTCCAACATTGGGTAATGACAAGGCTTGTGCAGAATCATCTTTAGAAAGTCCCAATCACAATTATTTATATAAAACAAGAATTTTATCTAGAAAAAGATACTTTATGTGATTACAAGAGATAAAGTGTAAGTTAGAATTGGTTGCAAAATAAATTGGGGGGGGGGGGGGGGAAGCAGCTACTGTCTGAATGAGTTTAAAAGCCAAATCTCTCACTGTGGGCTGTAACAGTTCACAGGCTGGATTTTGTTTCAGCTGGGAACCCATCCTTCAGAACAATGTGCTTTAATTATTCATTGATGCCATGAGCAGAGTGACGGGAAGAGGGAACTGATGAAGTGGAGGTCACAGTCTCTCTATCTCCTCTCTTTCAGATTACCCTCTCCCCCTGCTGGGTTGTAGACAAACAATTCTCTGTGCATATGAAATTCAAACAGTCTCAGATTAAATATAGTGGGTTATTTTATTTTATTTTTTAAATTTATTCCCCACTGCTGGTCAATAGCCAGCTAAGCAGATAATGGCCCGTTAGCACCTTGCTGGTCTGCTAGTGTGCCTTTGTCTCTGAGAGAATTTGTGGGTCTTGCGTTGTACTTCTCGGTAACAATTGCATAGCAAAATCTCATAATTTTACATTCAGTGATGTTTCAATGGGATAATATTCAGCAAATGGTCATTTACAGGGCATACTTTATACAAAATATATCATAACCATATGATGAGTGGTGAACCTGGGGCAAAAGATGTCGCGCAAACATAGGTCAAACCAACAGGATTTTCTAAAACCGTGCTTCTAAATAGTGAACTGGAGTACACTTGTTTTATTTTCGTAGGATACTTGCAATTTTTCAATTGATTTGGTCCCTGTAGGGAGTGAGTGGTGAATGCCTGCAGAAAACAAAGTTGAGGAAGCCAAGCTGAAGAAAGAAGGCTAGCATATCTTCTATTATTTAAGCTTACCTACTTTTCAATAACAGTCTGTATGCAAATAAAATGTTACTTGTCTGCCAAGTTTGTGAATGGGTTTGTCAGTCCACAGTATAAAAAGCCCTGGCCTCCAGAGCCCTTATCTCTCACTCCTCTCCCCTCCCCACGCCAGCCACTGACCCTGGAGTCCCCTGCACCCAACCCCCCTAGCACTAGCCATTGATTCTAGAATCTCGTGCACTAAACTCCCTCCCTGTGCCAGCCTCCTGCCCTTAGCGCCCCCAGTGCCAGCTCCCATCCCAAACTCCCCAGTGCCAGCTCCCCATCACCAGATGTTCTAGTATTAGATTCACACCGAGCCCCCCACACTAGCCCCAACCCCAGAACCCCCAGTGCCTCCTCTGTTCCCCTCACCTAGCCTTGTGCTGCCTTCTGCCTGCCAGCTGAGTGCTGCTGTCGGGGTTATGGTTGCTCTAAGGCTGCTGTGATAGACTCCCGCTGCACAGTGAACTACTCTTCCCTGCCCCTGCCTGGAGCTGGTTGGCTGAGAGGTGGGGCAGAGCACACCTTTCCCAACAGCCAGACAGGAGGGGAAACACTGGGTGGTGTATCCCAACCCCAGAGAGCCACCACAGGTTTTCAGCCTGGTCCCGGTCCGAGGACCTGGTGGTTGTGAACCAGTTTCTCAGGATTCTCCTAAAGCAATGGACTAAAGATATAGAAATACAGGAAATAGAATTTGTCAATGCCGGACTTACTTTTTTTTCCCTGAAATACTCCTAGATGGCGGGGCTGGATTAGCTCATAGCTGCTTAAAGCAAATAAAAGGAATTACTTTTAATAGATAAAATCGCCTTTTTAATAGGTCTTGTTCTTAGAGGAATAGAAAATACTGATGCTT